TTATGCTAAGCTAACTGGCTCCTGGCTTTTGAGTCCAGACTGACATAACTTTATTGCTGATCTTCTAATGCAGCTCTTGGCAAGAAAACAAACAAGTCGATTTCTCATAATGTCGAACCATTTCTTGAATCTCTGCGTAGTTTCACTGAAAGCTGAACATGATCTGTATCAAGTAAACATATCTGTAAACACAAGACGCACATCAGCTCTTTGAGGATTCTTCCTTTAAACTTGAGCATGAAACTAACAAATACTCCTGAATGTGGGGGGAAGCAAAAATGAGCCCTCCAGAAAATGTACTCAAAGCAACTCTGTCAACAAACGGCTCCAGCTTTTTCTATACACACCAGACCTGGATCGAGTTATGAGCTGAAATCTTTCCAGACACTTTCTCACAGTGATTGCCTTCGTCTGTCTGGACCCGGAGCCGGACAGACAGGGCTGGCATCTGCAGGGCCGTCCTGATTCAATCCACAATCAGCGAGAACCAGAAAAGTTACTGAATCAATCTCAGACTGCAATTCGAGCCTGGCCTGGTACACGCACACAGGAACACGGGAAACACAGAGTTATTACATTGCGACATACTGAGTTGGCTGGCCTGGCTGTAGCTCGTTACTGGCTCACATCTGGACGGATCAGACATGACCCATTCAGTCGTGTTCAGAGAGTCCTCCCTGCTCCTTTGTTTCTGTTTTTCTCTGTTTTACACTCTTATTGTTGTATTTTACGTGCTGATAAAGATGAAATGCCTGCAGGAGCTGCATGCTGTGTGCAGTGTGCACTTTGATTGGATTGCTCTGTGTTTGTTCTTTCTTCCTCCCCTGCACCGTTTCACTTCTTTCGAGTATTAAAGAGAGAACAAAAATCTCAGAAAGGCAGAGAGGACCTTTTGAACATCACTTCAACCATGCAGGACATCTGCAGGTCAAACCTCGGTGCCGGCTTGCCAACATTAGCTCATGTAGACCTCTCTTTGTGCAGAGAGAAGTGGTGCAAATCACCACAGAGTAAGTCTGTAGAATACAAATAATGGATAAATTATACAGAATTAGAATGACGGGTAGCGTTGTGGTTCATTCTAATTGTATGCAGAGGTGGCTGCAGGCCTCGGGGTCCAGGTTTGATTGGTCGACTGCACGTTTTAACCTTTGACCTTGAATGGGGGGATTATGGGAAATAAAAGGCCTGTACATTCAAGTGTTGGTAATTCTGACTGTCCTGTGGCTGAAGAGGTTATTAGCAAAATGAAATGCTGATCTGTGGGGAAGGTGACATCTACTTTGATAGAATAATGGTCAAGCTGGAAGCAAAACTCTGTCATTAAAGCTGCAGAACGGAGAAATCTGGACTTTGCTGCTATTTAAACGATCTCTCATGAAGCCCTGGAATTGGCTAAAACCTCCCGTCATGAGATGAAACCGAGTCAGGAGGAGGTGCAGAAGTCTGGTTCTTCCAAAGACCACTTGAATTACAATATGCTGAAAGGTAAGAATGGAATTTTCACCCAATTATGCCCAAAAAAATCCTGCTTACTCCAGATTTAGGTAGATGTCATTTATTGTTTTTGTACTCCTGCAATTTAGTTTAGTATTTGCAAAATTTGGGGGCTGCAACGAGGCAGACTGAACGAAGTCTGGCCAGAATGGAAGCTGCAGAGGCGGAGATAACCGGACATCTCGGCTGTGGTCGGATAGGAACATAAAAAAAAAACAACGTTGAGGTCAAGGAAAAGTGTGAAGAGAATTCATGAGGATTTAAGAAAAGTCAACTGCGATGCAAAGAGAAGGCGGTGTAGTCATGCGATAGTGAATGCTGTTGATAAGGATGGATCAATGTGTCCTACGCTAAAGGAAACAGGAAAGGAAGCACTGAGGAATCTTTCTTTAGCCATTTAGAGAATTGAAGTGAAACTGAGATCCTTCTGGGTCATTTCACTCAGTTAGAAACCATCCAAAGTGAATAAAACACAATTCAACCACAACCTTGGTCTGCAGGTTTGGTTCCAAGCTCCAAAAACACAATATTTCCAATAATCTTAAGAGCGTCAGTAGAACTGGACTTCTGACATTTCACCTCCTATCAAAGAGGCCATTTAAGCTCTATCTCAGATATAAACTGTCATCCCCAACTTACATGACTAATCGTCCATTAATGACCCAACGTGGTGAAACCTTCTGGGGAAGGATCTTAAGACTTCATCATGAGTACCTGATAGCTAGAGAGTTTAGAGACGACTGTTCCAGGTGGACTGCTGAGTCTTGCTCTGAGGAGCTCCTGTGTTGTGTGCTTGTGTTATGGATGATTAGTTCAGTACAGAAGACATACAAGCTGGAGGTGACAGTGTATAAATGGGATCAGTCCGTCCAGCTGCCTTCTCCTGAAGCTGTCAGGATTACCATGGCCTGGCTATCTAACCGTCTACACAGACATACGTTTCCAGGTTTATTGAATCTTTCGTTAGTTCACCTCCAAATTCCCTAAATGACATCTTCCAAGCCTCATGTCTAGTTGTAAAGCAGCAGGTTTTCTATTAAGCCACAGAAGATATTGGATGAGTAAACTGAACCAGATGTGTAAAACCACTGGAGAGCCCCTTAAAATGACCCCTTATAGCTTCACAGTATTTTCTTTACAGTACAACCAATTGGACCGACAAAGCAAAAGACTGAATGCATTTATCTTTTAAGGGCTGAATTTGTCGGTAAGAGATTTAAATTGGACTTCTGAAACCTGCACAGTATTGTGTCATTAGTGAGGCAGGCTGCTCCAGCTGATGGAGATGCAGTGTGGAGGAATGACGCCGCCTGTCAGACGTCGATAAAATCTAACAGGAGGGAGTGAAGAAGAGTGACAGAGCTCCGAGAGTTGGTCTCTTAAAGCATTGACTTTCTGTCCGCCTTCAGCGACTGCTGAAATCTAAAACGTATTTAGTTTTTGAGTTACACTTTGGGTTGTCTGCATCCTAAAATCCATTATGCTTTAATTATCTGATTATTTATAACCAAAGCTCGCTGATTAATATGCAAAAACACTCGCTTCTTCTTTGGCTCTCGCTGTACCGTCTGAGCAAGTTCTGGCCTGCAGCGTGACAGAAAATCCTGCAACGGAGGGATTTTTGTTGGCGAGGAACGGGGGCTGATCTAATGGCTGACCTTGAATAAAAGAAATTATTCATTTTTCAGAAGTAAACGACACAAAAGTTGTACTTCTTTCAAGAATGTGTCCTTCAGAGAGGCCTTGAATATCAAACAGCCAAGATTTATGCTTGGAGATGAAGAATCTGATATGTCCTTTGATAATATGATATGTATATTAGTCGTGTTTGACTGTTTAGATGTGCAAAATAACGTTCTCGAAAGGAGGTATTCTCTAAATCACATGATGTGAGAGTGTTCAGTTCTAGTTTTACTGGATTTAGCCTTTGTTTCATTCAACTACCAGCTGTAAATAACGCATCGTGGTTTTAATACTGCGTCCTCGCTTCTTGCAGGTGCCTACCTTGTACTGCAGTCGTGCACTAATTTGAATCCAGATCCACTGAATTTCCTGGTTTCACCTGTGTACAGATAAGCCAGAATCAGACACCTGTATGTCACAGAACAGAGTTTTAAATCTGCTGTCTGTAGTGAAGCTCTACCAGCAATGATTTGTTTGCCAGAGTTAAAAAGGGGAACGACTGCAGCAGCGACGGCTGCAGCTGAATACTGAGGAACAAAAACTGAGGAAGCATCAACTGTGTTTGTATAATTAATCTCAGAAAAGTTCCACACTGCAGGTTTAAAACTGAGGCTGAATCATTGGTAATGACGGCTAATTAATGAAACAAAGCACGGCTGAGGTTAAAAAATAAATAAATCCATACATGTTGTTCCTTTTAAAGATGGCATCTGTGAAACGGTTGTGCACTCTAGTAAAAACTTAATATATTATTTTCACTTTTTGATGGTTTCCTTTTATTCTAAACTTTTTCGGTTGTTTTCAGTAAAAACTTTTGGAAGTTGTGAATTTGTTTCTTTCCAAAGTGGTTGTATTGAGGAGCGAGAGCCCGACAGCGCCTCGTTTTTAGCTCTTCTGTCCTCCTTCAGTCCCAGGAGGCGACCCACCTCCGGGTCATGTGACCACCAGATGGCGCTGTGAGTCCACCAGAGACCAGCTGTCAGTGTACATTCCTTCATCTTGGTCCTCTCAGGCAAACTTTGACTGCAGCCTGGAGAGAGTTTCCTTTAGAGAAGTATCCCATTTGTGTTGGGTGAATAGTTTGATTACATGCTGGAAAAGGTTCATTCAGACAGATTTCATGACTGCTGTCGTCAAGCTTGACCGGCACAAAAATATATTTGGTTTAGTTTGCTTGGTGTGGAGAGAGTCCACATAGACCAGAGCTCAGACTGCATTTAGACTCTGTGTGAAGGCTTGAAGTCGCGGTTTGACCCCGGTGACCTCGTGGTCGGCGCTCGACTCTGTAACCTGCATCAGTGGGACTCGGTGACGGGCCGCTCGACTTCATACCAGGTTAACGATGAGACTTGGCTCCTCGCTGAGCGTCTCATTTCATCCCAGTCTGGATCGCAGCCGATACGTCAGTCCCCACCGAGTATACGACTTCTTCTGCACATTTGAGCATGTTTTGGTAAAGGCCTGACGGATGCCTTCATTTTCCCATTTATGGCATGAAAACCAATATTTTGGCAACAAATAGAAAACGAACACAGTGGAAATATTGGTTTTCATTCCATAGCAGCAGTGGAAAATCCCACTTCACACCCTTGAGGTTAACTCTCCTGGTTTCTTTCCACGTTGGTGTAAGTAGTGCACTTCTGTGTGGAGAAAAGGCTCTTCAGACGAGACCGGTCCTTTCACAATAAGAGTCCCCACTACAGGTTTACAGTGGAAACCAGTGAAGAGGCTGCAGGCTCCGAGCACCAGCCGGTCGAAGCGCTGCTCGGTCCAGCGCCTGCTGGTTAGAAAGGAGACGTAAAAGGACGAGAAGCTCACAGTCACACGCTGCTGGTGTGTTCTCTGGAGGCAGGACTGTAGCTGATGAGGGACAGCTCCTGCTCCAGCTCCGTTTCCGGCTCCGTTTCTGAAAGTATCCCGATGTTGTGGCACTCTGAGAGGCTCTGTGACGCTATTCCTATTTGTGTCCCGTCATCTGTCGTGTCCTCTGGGTCCACCGTCAGCCTCCCGTTGTCCCCCCGGCCGCCATTGCGACAGTTACTGTTGCGGTCCACCCCCGCCTTCCCGTGGCCGCCCATCAGAAGAGGCGTGACGGCGTGCGACGGGCACGGAGGGGGGACCAGGAGGGTTTTGCAACTCTGTCCGGCTGCGTTGGCCCCGACTTTGTACTGGCACCTGATGTAGCTGGAGAAGGCCCTCCTGTAGGTCTTATTGAAGAGGGTGTAGACCAGAGGGTTGACCCCGGAGGAGATGTAGCCCACCCAGACGAAGACGTTGAGCAGGTCGTGGAGCAGCGACTCGTTGCAGGAGTCGCGGCACAAGACGGAGGTGACATTGGTGATGAAGAAGGGACACCACATGATGAGGAAGAGAAAGAAGACAATTCCCAGGACCTGAAGGGCGAGAGAGAGGAGAAGAGGACGGGAAATGAAACAGAAGGAAACAAGGAAAGAGTAAGAAAAGGAGAAGGGAAACACAAACGCTCTTTTCCATTCAGTAAAAACATAATTATTAATGTTTTCAAGTGGCTAAAGCTCTTGAATGATCTCTACCTGAAACGCAGGCATCATATGTAGATTCATGTTTTGCAGCGTCCCTGTGATTGCACCACTTAGACCAGGATTTGAATTTTTGATACAGGTATAAGAGTGCTTTGGTCTTCATCCAAAATGAATTTGAATTCGCCGGAGCCACTGCTGGGCGCCCTGCGAGCGCTCTGTGACTCCGGCAGCACTTGAAGCTTTTTGACGCTGCTCAAAGTGCCTGGCTGGATTTGATAACATGAGCTCTTCTAAATATTTCAGAGGAGACATTTGAAACTGGCTGTGAGGAAACAGCTGGGAGTTCCTGAGAAAAACACTCCATTCTTGGTCCTCAAGGAGAGACGACGGAAATCTGTTCGGTGATAACCTCACAGACGACGATAACAGACATCGGATGTGTGCTTACTCTGTTTGCAAGAAACTTCTGCATTGCAAAAAATAGATGTATTTTCAAAGCTGCACTCATCAATTTCTTTATCTAGACAGAGTATGTGTGTTGTTCACAAGTTGATAAAGCAACTCAGAACTATCGCAGTTTCTTTAGTTTTATGGGGCATTTTAGCGTCTTGCTTAGTTGTTACGGTTCAGCTCACTTCACTGTCCATCAGTCTGTTTATTAATTTCTATGATAATTGATGAATTGTTTGGTCGATAAAATTTCAGAAAATGGTGAAAAATGCTGAGCAGCATTTCCAAAAGCTCAAGAAAACGTCCTCAAATGTGTTTAATCATTGACTTTACGATCATAGAGGAGGAAAGAAACCAGAAAACATTCACGTTTAAGAAGCTGAAATCAGACAACTAATAGTTTAACTGATTAATTATTGAAGCTCTCGTGCCGTCATCATGTTTGTTTCAGATGATTCGCTCAGATGAACTCTTTGTTTTACGACCTCCTCAGTAGCAAACTTAGCAACTAGCTGGTAAACAGAGTTGTGCATTTACCAGCTGAGGAGCTGATGCTTTTCTCTGAAGCTGGTGGAGCCCAACACAGAGCCAGAATGAGACCAAACGTTTCTTAGTTTTGCCAAGAGTGTGAGCTGAATCTGTAATTAAACAACTATTTGCCAACACTTGAGCTGAAACAACTCTATTAGGCCTTATTATGTCAAACATGGTCTGGCCAGAAGAAAAAAAAAAAGCATAATTATCAATTAGGGTGGAAACTGAGCTAGTTTCTACTTACTTTAAGCCTAATTTACTTTAAATGAAACCTTCAGGGCCACACAGGCATTATCTGGGAACACATTTCAGAGTAATAACCATAAATCACGGCGAGAAAATGCAAGAATATCCCCTCATGACTCACTTAAAGCACATTTGGTCGCTCGCACATTAGCCTGTGTCCTAATGTGCATACCGCTATGTTTATGATAATGACGGTAAATAATCATACGTTGCTGTAGAATAACACATTAGACAGGAAATGAGAGCTACACCTGCAGTAAATCAATATTCAGTTTGAGATGTTAAAATGTGCGTAATGGATGTTGGCGGCGGTGCTTCTGTGCTGTTAGAGGACGCTGCTGATAAAAGACGGAGGTGAGAACAAGCCTGTGGAGGCCGAGCCGATTTCCTGACCTGTGATAATAATACTGACTAATGTGCTGCTCCTGATTTCAAAGAGCCTCTCTGTTGAAAGTGTCTGCTGACCTGGGCTTCGTTTCAGACGCCGAGGAGGGAAGCGGCTCCGGGTTTTTAAAGCTTCCGACAACAAAGCCGCCACTGTTACGCTGGAGTGCGGGAGTTTTACATATAAATGAACGTCTGCTGCATTCAAGCTTTTACCAAACGAGGTCACACAATTCTGTTTGGGCCAATCGGTGACGGGTAATCTCTCTGGATTTCACAGGAAACCGGAGTTTTAAATCTGGTGTCTGCAGCGACATTTCCTCGTTTGTGATTGGTTTGTCAGAACTGAAGATGGAAGCAACTGAGACACAGCAACTGGGAATATAACGGCAAACTTCTGAAGCGTCCAAGAAATGCTCAAGATGCAAAAAAAACCCTCAACACTCAAGGATAACAGGCAATAATGTTTGAAATGTTCTGAACAAAGTGCTGCAATCAGACCTGAGTTTTAGCACTGATGCCTTCACATTCCTCCATAACTTTAAAATTTAACAAACAATTTTTCTGAAAAGTTCTCCACAAACCCTGGACTGAAGGTTTTAGATGTGATGCATGACTGACTAAGTTTCTATGTCACCTGTTGCCATGCCAACAGTGATGTCATGTACCTGGCGTGCACCTCTACGTCTCTGCAGCAAGAAGCAAGTTAAACCAGCGTGTTTTAGCTGCGTTTAAGCTGCTCTTCCAGGTTGCAATATGCAATGTTGTACCCACACATACAGCATTAACATAACAGCAAACAACTATAAAGTTTTTTTGTGGACTCCTCAGCAGAGACTGAAGTCCTCGTGTTGTAATCAGAGCTGTTCTATGTTTCACCAGCTGCATGTTTTGCATGTTAGCGTCTCCCCCCCACCTGCACTTAAAGCAGACAGAGTGGCCTCCCACACGGCTCTGGAGAAGTTTAAGTGCAGTCCGGCATTCTGTTAGTGCCCTAAAAACCCATAAAATTTAAATAACAAGTATTTCATCGATGTTATTTACCTCCTTCACGTGCACTTCTTCTATTTTAGCTCAGTGTGAGAAGCTCTTGTGCTGTTTTGAGGCTCTCCTCTGCTCGTCCATCTTTGCTAATGTCTGTTCCACTTCAGTCCTGGTGTGTTTGTTTTCCAGCATTACTTCACTCCGGTCTGACGGAGAGTGGAAACAGACGTACATGGAGCGGAACGGACGGCAGCAGGTGAAGATAACGTTACCTGACGGCTTTTTAATGTATTTAATAATACTAGCGTGGGTTAACTGCTGTGTCTGGATTATTATTTTGTCTCTCGTGTAGATAACTCTTCTGGTTGGAATTGAAAGTGAAAAGAGGAGGAAGGTCTGACTGTGCACGCATAAATAGATGCATAAATCCCCCCCTCAGAGTGTCTTTTGGTCCAGCTCAAAATCACCTTCACCTTCACCTCTGTCTCCAATTTGTCTTCTGATTGTCGTTTTACAAGCACCTGGGCAAACGAATAACAGAAACGCCTTTTTGCTGGTGTTCTACTGACTTCTAGTTCTGAATGCTGCACGAAGAACCTGTAAGAAAACACTACAGACATGAGACTTTTTGACAGCGATCCTCTTCATCCTCACCTTTGAGGCCCGCCTCTCGTTTTTTATGGCCTGCATCATCCCCCGTCGCCCGTGGCAACCCGACGTGTCGCTCCGGCCCGGCCCGGCGGCTGGCGAGCTGAGCTGCGACGCCACCTCGGAGCTGGGAATGATGCTGATGCTGTCTGAGGTGGAGGCGCTGAGCAGCATGCTGGGCTCGGCACCTTTCAGGCAGCTCAGGGTGTTTCTCCTGCTCTGAGGGGGCGGCGGCTTCAACTCTGCGGGAGGGGCAAAATAAAAACAACGGTGAAGATGTCAGCTGTGAGGTGCCAAACTCAAGAACTGGATTCGTGTGTGTTGTCATGACTCCTTCCAGCTTTGTTGCCAAGAAAACTGCTGCCTCCACCACAACCAGGAAGGCGTGCCAGATTTTCTGCTAACAGGGCTGCTGATATTTTGCAGGGAGGAGGAGAGCTGAAAACACGAGGCGGAGGTTCCATTATTACTTCTCTGTGTCTGGGATAGATAGAAGATAATGTGGAAACATGGATAAAGACTTGCAGCTTTATCTCTGCTGGAGAAGCTTGGCCTGGCATACGGAACCAGCCGTCCATGTGCTGCCCAACCCGATCAGATCAGATAGCTGCTGACAGCCCCAGTATGCTGTTAGTGAAATAGCTGACATACAGTTTGCTTTTTTTGCCTCACTCATCGGGGCAATTCAGTGCTGGAGAAATTGCTTTTTGGCGAAGTCTTGCCCTCCGTCCTGTTGCATCCCCGCCAAGCGTTAACACAACACATACGCATTTACATACATCCATGGGTCCTGATTTCAGAGTGAAGCACACAAACATCAGTCTTCTTGTTTCTAGCCATCAGGGAATCCATCTTGGAATCTTGTAAATTAGGTTTTAAATACGCACTTGATGATTACATACTTCATAACTTGCTAAAATATTGAAGCTAAGGCTGCATGGAAACAAAAAGTCAGCACACTGACCACCTGGTGATCCACATCGACGACATGGGAGTGAAGATGCTTTGGTCTTGTAAAGTTTCTTAGTCCTAGTGTTGTAAATATTACAACATGTAAGCTCAGACTGAACTGGTTTGAGAAACTGTAGGAATCTTTTCTCTGAGTTTATTAAACGTTTGCAGCGTCCGGCAGCAGCGGACGTTTATGCAGATCGATGCATGTGGACCAACGGCAGTGACTTTAAAATGATTAATTATCCCTGAAATGGAGACAGGATCGATCAGGTTCTCATGGCTGTGAGCAACAGTTGATCAGCTGCAGGTAAATCATTCGTTCTGCAGCCGTTTTCCTCCTGATCTCCATCACAGCTGTCAGGAGGTTTTTATTTTACTGTTAGCAAAGTAGTGTGAGATTATCGTCACACATGGGCAGGATTTTCAGCATTTAGGAAATCATAAATAAACTACATCATTATGCATTATATACTGTCCAGTCCTGTGTGTGACAGATATTAAGCCGTTGCCATGGCGCCCTCCATCTCTGTTGAATGTCTGAATGATTGAATGCTTTCACTTTAACAGATTAATGAAGTAAACAGTGTCAACTTTTAGGTGTTTAAGGTGAGAACATGCACCTTAACACGAGCTTGGGTCATGTCGGTTGGAGTTTGTTGGAGCGCAAACTTCTTTAAACCCAATAAAGAGCAGAAGGCAGCTGCTAGCATTAGCCTTCTCTCTTACATAACAGCATCCAGGACGGATTTCCACACAATGAGGAAATCCTACACAGTGCATGTGCTGAATGTGAACACCAGGCTTTTAGTAAGTCACAAACTAATGGACACAAGGCTAGAAAATGAAAGGCTAAAAAAGCTCCGTGCGCACCATCAACTCGATGCCTGTTGCGTCTATTTACAGCTGCTAAGCGGTGACTCCACATTAGGGAAGGGATTTAAAGCATAGTCGGTTCAGTGTTTTCTATCCCTGGTATTCTTTTTAAAAGACAAAGCGCTTAAGTTAAAAAGGCACCTCCATGCTCCTCTTATCCTGATGGCAATTTAAACTGAAAGCAGCATGTGAACAGGACCAATAACAACAAGTGTTGTGAGAGTGATCCAGAGGAAGCGTATAGACGGAGCACAGAGTGAACTGTTGGCGGTGGAGGAATGCTTCATTATGAGAATTGAAATTAAAATATGCAACCGTCGGACGGTAAGCATTCAGTCCACTCTCCGACTAGTGGAAACAGCCAAGCCATCAATCTGTTTTGTGGCTCGTCTTGGTTTAATTTGTGGTGGGTTTAATGCTTTTAAACTGATTGAAACGTCCAGGAAAAGAAAACAACATAAAACACCAACATAAAGCACATTCTACCCTCCATTTAACTTTACCTGAGCTTCACAAATAACTTCATATTACAATTAAATTCCTCGGTTTCACAGTAACGGCTGATTTTTCTGTCACAATAAGGAGGTTTCTGCTGCTTTAGCCGCAGCCAGTGTTTACCTTGTGAGTCTGAAGGAGCGAGCGTGTTGATCTGAGGAATCTGGAAGGTGCTGGGTGGAGGCTGCAGTGTGTTTGACATTGCTGGTGTGTGCAAAGGCTGCTGGGAAGAAGTCTTTGCCTCGTGCAGGAAGACTGTGGCCTGCCTCTGGAGCACCTGGAGGGATGAGGGTGGAGAGAAGAAGAAAAAAGAAGTAAAACAACAACAAAATTTTTTTTTTACAGAATACAGGAATGTGTTCCGGTAGAAAACCTTTGTTCATTTGTTCATGTCTAATTTTGCAGAGTCTGAAGCTTCAGGGCTCCAGAGAATCTGTCAAGTGCTACCAAACATTATCAATAGTGCATCTGACATGTGACAGGTCTGTCATCTGTGGTACATGAAATAATTACAACGATTCAACCAAGGAAAAATCTGACATTAGAACTCCTTATTTCACTATTTTTAAACTTCCTAACAGAGATACATGCACTGCAGTAACTCTGTGGAGTCTAGAGGCTTCTCTGCACTCAGCTGGCATCTACATGTGAGGCGTTTAAGGAACGTTAGTAAACCGTAGCGTCCGCTGATGTTCTACACGTGAGATGTTTCGGTAACATCTGTTAAATTGTGGCTCTCTCCGCCCCTGAACTGCAGGAGTATCTGCACACACAACAGTCACGCTGCACCGCCTGATACTGCAAGTAAATTCTCAATCTGTAGAAAACACAGACAGGATAAAGCAGCCAACACTGCGTTGTGTTTAGTGCTGGGAGTGGTGCTTTTCCTGTTAAACTGTAGCTGAAGAAGAGCGAACGTTTACCAAGTCCCAGATCTTGCTCATGACAAAGAGTTAAGAAATAATCAATGTGTACGGGATCTGACAGAACATCTAGGTGCCAAAAAGTGCCTTGAGTGAACCTCAGTTATGTACCAGGTGAATCTTAATATTAAAATTAGTGAAGTAATTTCCTGCAATAAATTAAATTGTAGGAACCTAAGCCTAATGTTTAAACTCATTAGGCTTTCTTTAACATTAAACTAGTTCAGTCGGTGTCTGTTCTCTGAAGCGTCGTGTCCTACCTGTATGGTGAGGCAGTACGTCACCACCATGATGACCAGCGGAATGAAGAAGGCCACAAAGGAGCCAATCAGCATGAAGCGCTCCTCGTTGAGGACACAGCTGCCGTTGACAAAGACCTTGTCCTCGTTGTGGAGGCCGATCACCGGAATAGGCATCGATACGCCTGCAGAAGAAGAAAGACAGCCGGAAAACAGATTTAATGTCTCTCATTTTTATCATTTTGCTGATATTTTTCCAACAGGCGGCTGCTGCTCTTTATTGAGTGATTTGGACTCAAGGATGGAATAAAGTCCTCTTTCCTGCTATCGAAAATCGAATCAAAAGGCCTGAAAAACACATGAAGAAGTCCTTGAAATCAAAGCGTACAAATAAAGAGGATGGATATTAGCATGCTGGAACATGAAATGAAAATCAGAGGGAACCAGTAGGTTGATAATATGTATTTTCACTTTAGGCATGGAGTTTAATTAGTGTAAACCAGAATGGTAAATGATCCCATTCTGTATGGTTTTGTCTGGAAGCAGAAACTGTTTTTTTGTGGTGTAATCAGTAATTAGTGCTGAAACTAAGCCAGTTTCTACTCACTTTAAGCCTAATTTACGTTAAACTGAACCCTGAGGGCCACAGTCATTACCTGGAAACACAGAGGGTCATTTTAGAGTAATGATCATAAATCACGGTGAGAAAATGCAAGATTATCCCCTCATGACTAACCTACAGCACATTTGGTGGTTCGGCAGCGTTTCTGTGATAATGACGGTAAATAATCATACGTTGCTGTGGAATAACACATTAGACGGGAAATGAGAGCTACACCTGCAGTAAATCAATATTCAGTTTGAGATGTTAAAATGTGCGTAATGGATGTTGGCGGCGGTGCTTCTGTGCTGTTAG